ACTTCTCTCATCACCTCCTGCTGATACTTCCTTTCCTGCTGACCCAAACACCAGAACTGGAAGGCATGTGCACTCGTGTACATCCCGCTTCCATGTTACTTTCCTCACCCTTCTTCTCCTAACCTCTGGGGATATCTCCCCAAACCCTGGTCCTCCACTATTTCACCCCCCCACACCAGGTGTCCTCTTTCTTCTGGGAATAGCCGCAATCCCCTCAATTTAATATCTGTCCCCGTGCTCCCAAAAACCACCCTCCCTTTTTCATGTGCACTCTGGAATGCCCTCTCTGTCTGTAATAAGCTCACCTCTGTCCATGACTTTTTCGTCTCCCGCTCCCTTAACCTACTAGCAATTACAGAAATCTGGCTCCAAGCAGCAGTTTCTGCATCCCCCGCAGCACTTTCCTATGGAGGCCTCATCTGGACCCAGTCACCTAGACCCAGTGGTCGGAAAGGTGGTGGGGTTGGTTTGCTTCTATCCCCACTGAGCACCTTTCAAGTCCTCCCTAACCCTCCCTCTCTATCCTTCTCTTCTTTCGAGACTCACTGCATCCGGCTGTTTTCTCCCATTTCCCATTGCAGTGATCTATCGGCCTCCTGGACTGGTGTCCCGCTTTCTTGATGATTTCTCCGCCTGGCTACCCTACTTTCTCTCCTCTGAACTACCCACTCATTCTCTGAGATTTTAACATCCCTATTAATGTCAACAACCCGGCTACATCCCAACTCTTCAACCTAACCTCATCTTTTGCATTAGCACAATGTATACAGTCCTCCACTCGCTTTGATGGGAATACATTAGACCTTGTTTTCTTCCATCTTGGCACTCTCTACAACCTCACAAACACCCCCTTTCATCTCTCTGATCACAATATCATCACCTTCACAGTCTCCTAGTCTTCAAACATCTATCCCTCCAAGTGGCAAACAATTACCACACAGAAACCTTCACAACATGAACCCTGCTCCTTTCCACTCTGCAACTGACCAACTCTATGACAGAATCTCTCCCCTGTCCTGCCCTGACCTGGCCACTGCTGTCTATAACAGTTCCCTTTCATCTGCATTAGACTCGCTTGCTCCTCTAACAACACGAAGCATCAGGCCACGACCGTTACAATCTTGGCAGACTGACCACACCAGAAATCTTAAACGACATAGTCGTGCACTGGAGCGATTGTGGCGTAAAACCAAATCCCAGCAAGCATTCACCTGATATAAATCTGCTTTCTTAACATACAATTCCTCCCTTCACGCTGCCAAACAAGCCTACTTTGTCACTCTTATTAATACCTTGTCATCCAGTCCTCGTCGTCTCTTCTCTACTTTTAACTCTCTACTTTCTCAACCTCCATCTCCACCCAGTACCTCACTCACTGCTCACGAGATTGCAAATCATTTCAAAAAACAATATTGACACAATTCGTAGGGGCATCGCCACTGCACAGACATCCATCCCACTTAGCCTACCTTATACTAAATCAACACTTTCCTCTTTTGACCTCGCTACTACTGAAGAGGTCACTAAGGTTTTCTCAGAAGCCCGTCTCATTACCTGCCCCCTGGATCCTGTCCCCTCACAACTACTACGGTCACCCTCTTCTTCCATCCTATGCTCCCTCACTCACATCTTCAATCTTTCCCTCTCTACTGGTGCCTTCCTTTCCCCTCTAAAGCATGCGCACATCACTCCCATACTTAAAAAGCCCTCGCTGGACCCCACCAACATGAACAACTTAAGACCCATCTCCCTGCTGCCATTTACCTCTAAGCTCCTAGAATGCTTAGTCTACAATTGCCTGAGCTCCCACCGCACCGACAACAACCTTCTTGACCATTTACAGTCTAGCTTTCGCTCTCTACACTCCACTGAAACTGCCCTACTAAAAACTCACGAATGATCTACTAACTGCTAAAACCAATGGCCACTACTCCGTACTCTTACTACTTGACCTCTCTGCGGCTTTTGATACGGTTGACTATCCCCTCCTCCTCAAAAAAAAACTCCACTCTCTTGGCCTCAGAGACTCTGCTCTCTCCTGGGTTCTCCTCCTACCTATCGCAGTGCTCCTTCAGTGTTACCTATAACGCTGCTGTCAGGGAGCGAGGAGCCAGACACACAAGGAGGTGCAATTAAAGGTAGGTTTATTTACATGGAAGCAAGGTAAGAGTCTATGCAAGTCCTACAGCAACAGCGGATGACTTGGTAGGACAGAAGTTCTCCTGCCGAGGTCGTCTTCCAGGATAATCAAGTCGAGAACCAGCGGGAAATCGTAGCCCAGGGTCAGAAGCCAGAAGAATGGTCGCCAGAGCCGGGGTCAGAAGCCAGGAGGAATGGTCACCGGAGCCGGGGTCAGAAGCCAGGAGGAGTCTTTGCCAAAGCCGAGTCGGTATCCAGGAGAACAATGAGTTAACTGAACAGGAGCTTGCTGCTATGCAACAGACAGGACACAAATGCAATGGACAGCTACAAACAGCAGACTTAAATGTGATAAGCCGCCACCTCCTGGGAGGAGCTGCAGAGGGCTGAAAGCATAAAGGATCCCACAATGCTTTGCAGACACCTAAAATGGATGCCAGCACATGGAGCAGCACAAGCCCTGAGGAAAGGTAGGACCTTGACAGCTGCCTCCTCCTCTTCACTCTCTCTTTCTGTAGGGTCCCTCAAGGTTCTGTCCTTGGACCGCTTCTCTTCTCCATCCACACCTCCTCCCTTGGTCACTTGATAAACTCCCATGGCTTTAAGTACCATCTCTATGCTGATGACACACAAATCTATCTTTCTACCCCTCACCTCACCCCTTCAGTCTCCTCTCGCATTACTAACCTACTAAGCGACATATCGGCATGGATGTCACGCCACTTCCTCAAACTCAATCTTTCCAAAACTAAGCTCTTAATATTCCCTCCATCCCGTGCCCCCTCCCCTAACTTCTCCATCAAGATCAATAACACAATTATCAGTCCCTCCCCTCATGCCAGGGAGCTAGGTGTAATCCTAGACCCCATCTGTCCTTTCAGCCCCAAATCCAATCACTGCCAAATCTTTGTAGACTTCACCTCCGCAACATCTCCAAGATACGCCCGTTCCTAACCTCAGAAACCACTAAGCAACTTATTCACTCCCTTTTTATATCTCGCCTTGACTATTGTAACTCCCTCCTCATTGGCCTACCTCATCACAGGCTATCCCCTCTTCAGTCTATCATGAATGCTGCTGCCAGACTCATCCACCTTACTAACCGTTCTGTATCTGCCACCCCTCTCTGCCAATCCCTCCACTGGCTTCCCATTGCCCAACGGATAAAATTCAAAACACTAACAATAACATATAAAGCCATTTATAACTCTGCCTCAAATTACATCACCGATCTTGTCTCTAAATATCACCCTAACCGTACTCTCCGCTCCTCGCAAGACCTCCTGCTCTCTAGCTCCCCTTGTCTCCTCTTCCCATGCTCGTCTCCAGGACTTCTCCAGAGCTTCCCCCATCCTCTGGAACTCTCTACCCCAATTTATCAGACTATCGCCTACTCTGCTCACTTTTAGGCTATTCTCTGAAAACCTATCTCTTCAGGGAAGCCTATTCTGCCTCAGCTAATACTGGAATCTTCTACTCTTCCAACCAGTCCCATCCCCCACAGTTACTACCTTTGTACCACTAGCCCCTCCCTCCTAGATTGTAAGCTCCAAGGAGCAGGGCCCTCCTATCCCTCTTGTATTGAACTGTATTGTTACTGTATTGTCTCCCGTTATAATTGTAAAGCGCTGAGCAAACTGTTGGCGCTATAATTTATATAGGATTTACCTGTATAATAATAATTTTGTGTCTGCTTCTTTTTTACACACTGTTAGAAGTTACAGTATGTTAATTGGGGGGTGGAGCTTAGCCGTAGTTTCAGATAGCTGCTTGAGTGCTGTGCTCCGACTACAGAGAGAGAAACACAACAACTCACAGCAATGCTAGCCACTTTTTTCTCTGCCTGACAGTGGGCTACACTCTCCCACCAACACCACAAGAGGAATAGGCTGGTGGCGCCCCACTGGCTAATTGACCTATTCACACAGTCCCAGAAGGAGATCTCCTAAAATGGTGCTGACATGCAGCATGAATTGGTGCTCACAACTCCCCAGATGTCTGGCAATGCAGATCCTCTCTCTGATATGGAGGAATTCATAAAATGAAATGCAGATGCAGCATCGTCTCACAATAAAAGATGTCACATACCTCATATAAATCACTATCTTCATAAAAATAACACATACATCACATAATAAATACATCCTGCACATTTAATTTATCGCAAGCATTCAAAAACCATATGGACTACGGAAAGAAGCTGCTTTGCAGCCTAGTGGTACGGGAGGAAATACTTCCAAATTGCCTGCCAGAAGGCAACACTGTAAACGAGGCTAGACGTGTCGAATGAAAAAAGTGGTTTAGTTTTGTTTAGTTATTTAACTACTAGCCTACAGGGCACTTATACCCCTTCCTTCCCAGGCCAATTTCCAGCTTTCAGCGCTGTTGCAATTCGAATGACAATTGCGCAGTCATGCAACACTGTACCCATATGAAATTTTTATCATTTTTTTGTGACAGAGCTTTCTTTTGGTGGTATTTATTTACTTCTGGGTTTTTTATTTTTTCTTAAACAAACCAAAAACCACTGAAAATTTTGAAAAAAAAATATTTTTTTTTCTTAGTTTTTGTTATAAAATTTTGTAAATAAGTGATTTTTCTCCTTCACTGATGTGTGCTAATGAGGCTGCAGTGATGGGCACTGATAGGCTGCACTGATGGACACTGGTAGGTGGCACTGATGGGCATTGACAGGTATCACTGATGGCGCGCTGGGCACTGAAAGGCAGCACTCATATATGGCACTCATAGGCGGCACTGATAGGCGGCACTGACTGGCACTGTTAGGTGGCACTGACTGGCACTGTTAGGTGGCACTGATAGGCGTCACTGACGGGCACTGATAGGCAGCACTGATGCGCACTGATGGCGGCACTGACTGGCACCGATAGGCGGCACTGACTGGTACTGATAGGTGGCACTGATTGGCAGCACTGATAGGTGGCACTGATTGGCATTGATAGGTGGCACTGACTGGCACTGTTTGGTGACACTGAAAGGCAGCTCAGATGGGCACTGATATGTGGCATTGATGTGCACTGGTAGGCACTGATATGTGGCATTGATGTGGCACTGATGGTACTGGCACGTGGCACTGATTTGCACTGACAGCTGTGGCACTGATGGACACTGACAGGTGGCACTGCTGGGGCTACACTGATCATCAGGGCACACTGATCATCAGTGCTACTGATGATCAGTGTAGTTGTCCCCTCCGCTGAATGCCGATTACCGGATCTCCTCTCCTCTTGAGCTGTCAGCGTGACAGCTCATGAGGAGAAAAATGCCAATAAACAGCATTTCCCTGTTTACATGTGATCAGCTGTGATTTGGACACAAGTTTTCGGCTCTTTCCGTGGATCGGTGTCCACTGTGTCCGGGAGCCGCACATGCGCGGTTAAAATGGGAGGACGCCATATTACTATATGGCGGGGCGGGAGGTGGTTAAATAATTTTGGTTTGTTAAATTAGTTTAATTAGTTTAATTTGTTTTTGGATTTGTTTAGTTCATTTTGTTTGTTTGTTCTTGAATTTGAATTAGGCAGAACCGAAAAGTATCGGACTGGCATTCAAATTCAAATATATTCTATTCAAAACTCACATTTCGGAGGACGGTTATTTTCTTTCTATTTCTATTGTTTTTTGTATTCTATTCTATTCTTGCATGCTGAAGTTTGTTATTGTTGTTATGTGTTATGTTACTGTTATCTGTTTTAAAATTCTTATTTCTTAAAGTGGTATATTTCCGAGTTTCATTATGGAACCATGATTGTTATTATTTTCCTTAATTAGGTGTTATTCATTTTTGGTGTCCTTGTCTCTCAGCAGTCTTTCACAGCATCCCCTTCCCCACCCATATGGCGCTTGAGATAAGGGCATAATAGCCCAAACAAAAAGAGCCATGTTTTGGAAAGAGGTTTTTCTTTCTTCAAACATTTGATGTGCTCTGTGTACCAGGAGATCCATTTTAAAGAAACTTAAGGGTCCCAAATGTCATCACCCTAAATTACCCCCCATTATTTCTTTGCTAATGTGGATACTAAAAGGAAAGGGGTGAATATCATGATATGATCTCATTCCAGCTCTACAACCATGAAGAGGACCTTAATGGTAGATTCATTATTCTTTTGGCCTCTTTCAATAATCTTTTTCTCACTCTAGTTAATATCCACGCTCCTAATGTTCACCAAAAGACATTTTTCAAGACTCTTCTACAAAAACTTCAGCCATATGCACTCACCAGCAACTTTATTAGGTTCACCTTGCTAGTGCCAAGAAAATATCCCCCACACCATTACACCACCATCACCAGCCTGAACCATTGATACAAGGCAGGATGGATCCATGCTTTCATGTTGTTTACACCAAATTCTGATCCTACCATCTGAATGTCACAGCAACCAGTCTGCCCATTCTGACCTCTGACATCAGCAAGGCATTTTCATCCACACAACTGCAGCTCACTGGATATTTTCTCTTTTTCGGACCATTCTCTGTTAATCCTAGAGATGGTTGTGCGTGAAAATCCCAGTAGATCAGCCGGTTTTTAAATACTCAGTACGTCTGGCACCAACAACCACGGCACATTCAACATCACTTAAAATCCCCTTTCTTCAACCATTCTGATGCTTAGTTTGAACTTCAACAGGTTGCTTTCACCATGTCTAGATGCCTAAATGCATTAAGTTGCTGCCATGTGATTGGCTGCTCAAGCAATTTGTGTTACAAAGCAATTGAACAGGTGTAGCTAATAAAGTGGCCGTTGAGTGTATATAAACAGACCTATAATTTATGCAGTGACTTTAACAAAGTCATTGATGTTTCCATTTATTCTTTTACCATGACAAGGTGACATTCTACCTTTCTATCATCACTCCTTGCCTCAGAAGACCTCTGTGATGCATGGCACTGTATTTCATGGCACTGAAAGGGATTACACCTTTCATTCCAGCACTCAAAAAGTTTATTCCAGAATTATTCTCTTCCTTGTGATAAATTTACTTGAGAGATGAGCGAATTATTCAAAAATTCGGTTCGGCTGATTCGCCGAATTCGCCGAATAAATTCGCTTGCAC